TATTCAATAAAAAAACACAGTGAGTTGCTACGTTCACCCACAACATTAGTATTACCTCGTCTCTCTTATTTTTTCTACAGTATTACCAGACTCCTGCCTTCACTCTGGCACCTCAATCTTTTGAAGAAACGTATGAAGAAAGCAAAAGGAAACAAAATAACAAATGCACTATAACATGAAGATAGAAATAATAGACAAATGCCCATAACAGTAGTTAATTCCATAACAACATGGGATCAAGCGCAAGAACATCCGACTTTATTTGTTACATATTTGAAAACCTACCAGAAAGATTAGGAGATTCACCTCCAAACCATAAATCTTATGTTTAGATTGATTGAAGAACTCCATCTATAAATCCTTTCTGCTGGCAGATTTGTGGTGAATTAAAAAACTTGATTGTCAACAGATTGAGAAGCCAAGTACGCAATAACTACAAAAACTTCATGAGAATTAAAACATATTGATGGAATCTTCATGAAAGATGATTGGCATTTTCTCCTATGATGACTCCAAGCTCCTCAATCTTCATCCATGGCTCCAATTAGCAAAGAAAGAAATCAAAATATGGAAAGAAAAGAATGTTGAGAAATTATGTAAAATTTCTTATAATCAAATTTACAAAAAGCAAAATAAATGCCAAATAATAACACACAATTGATAACGGAGTTTGGCTAATTGTGCATACATCTCTCAAATGCTGTAGATATATTATTGAATAAGGAGAAAATATAAATAGTATTTATAAACACTCAACTCATAATCTAAATTCATAGTTATAGCATAGTATTATTTATACATGCATGTAAAGTTTTTATCCCTCTTATTTTGTGTTTCTTATTTTTATGCATTCTTATATTTTTATGCATTCTTCTATTTTTCCTAACAAAGGAATACGTCCTTCCAACAAAGAATATGATAGGTGTATCACTCTCAAGTGAGAGATAAATAAGAAATGATGATCTTATCACAGAGAGAAATTCCTTAATGAAAGATCTTAAGGAGAAAAAGTTATCTTATGTGAAACTAAGACCAAGAGAGAGAATTCAGAAAATCAATTTTCAAATATGATTCAAAGTGACACATACATGTAGAGAACAAGTTTATATAGAGTTAGGTAGCTTAGGGAGCAAGCTAGACTAACCATGATAAAAAAAAATGAATCATGGTTGCCTAACTAGGGTGGGTTGGCGTGCCACTTAGGAGTTTGAATTTGAATTCAAACTTGGACTCCAACTTAGTCATGTGTTCCCATGTGCTCTAGATCCAATCTAGCCTAGGAGAGTTTGTCATAAGGCAAGTAAGGATAGTGTGACTAGCTAATAATCCATGTGACTAATTTTGAATCATTAAGCTTACATGTTCGTTCAAACCTCCACATGGGACACCTTACATTTAAGCCTAATTAATTTATTTTAGTTCATGGCCCATATACTAGTTGCACCTCCCTAGCCTACTACTATTTACACATCAAGAAAAATACGTGGAAATAATTCCTAGACTACATGGTCCAAAAATATAAGACCCAAAAAATAAAAGAATATATATACATAAGAGATATTGGGCTTATATATTTGGTAGCCTATAACTCAAGATGAGATTAGATCCACTAACCTCTTTATAATCCTCTTGGATCCTTCTAGTCATAACCATAGTAGTAGAACATTTGGCTAAGGCTCTTCCAGCATCCCCTCCTTCTTGAAAAGAATTTATCCTCAAATCAATAGGTTCCTCCTCTTCAACATCAACACCTACAAAAGGAATAAGATCACAAACATTCAAGGTATTGCTAACTCAATAATTATGTAAGAGGTCTAACCTATATGCATTACTTTTTATCCTCTGGAGGACTTGGAAAGGACTACCCCCTCTTGAGTTGAGTTTGAACTTCCTTTCAATATGAAACCTCTCCTTCCTAAGATGAAGCCAAACTCAGCCCCCTCTTTAAAGATGATCTATTTCTTCCCCTTAGTATTATATTTAGTGTATCTCTCTGTGGTATTTGAGTTCTAGCTTTCTCATGCAACTTTTTTGCAAATTCTATCCTAGATGCCCTTTCTTTATACAAGAAAAAAGCACATTTGGGAAAGGTATTAAATTCGTAGGAGTGAAAGGGTTAAAATCATACAGAACCTCAAAAGGAGATAACTTGTTGGTCTTGTGAACCATCCTATTATATGCAAACTCTATGTAAGGAAGGTACTCATATCAAGACTAGTGGTTGCCTTTTAATATTTCCCTTAACATAGTAGAAATGGATTTATTCACTACTTTTGTTTGCCTATCAGGTTAAGGGTGACAAGTAGTGTAGGATACCAACTTAGTTCCTACTCTTTTCTAGAGAGTTCTCTAGAAATGACTAAGGAACTTAACATCATATCTAAAACTATAGTTTTTGGGTAGTCCATGCAATCCTATGATGCACGAATATGATACGAGAATTAGATACAGTATGTATCTGATAAGACAATATATCAATTCTTGAAAATATAGGATATGATATTTTTAGGATACGTCTTAAAAACATTTAAATTAATAAATATAAAAAAAAATAATTGCAAATGAATATCATTCAAAAATAAAAATTAAAAATACATTCTTGCTTTTTTATTTTTAAACATTACCATAAAAAATGATGAATCATTTCATATTTCTTAGAAATAGGCATACTATCAATTTCATCCCCTATTTGACCATCGTTTATAAATAAGATAGCTTCCATTTGTGGTTCATCGATAAATAATTAAGTCACTTCAAGATTTTCAATTAATGAATTATTTTTAATAAATCATAAATAAATTAATAAATTACTTTGATTTTATTGATTATAGTTATTTGATTGACATAGAGACTTTTTGCCTCATCCACACCAAGCACAAGTGGATAGATTGGCACTAGGCGTGGGTGAGTCAAAGACTTTTTGCCTCATTAACATTGAACGCTAGGATAATGGCACCGAGCATGGGTTATTGAATGAAAACTTGCTATTTATTTGACTAAGTGTTGAGAATATGTTGAGTATATTTATTTCTTACATGATATATGATATTGTATGATTTTAGTTCACTATGCATTTATCAATTATGATGTATAATGATGTTTAAGTTGCTTAAGTTGTAAGTTGCCTATGAATGAAAGATGACTAAGTTGTAAGTTATCAATTGATTAAAGATGTTAAGTTGTATAAACATGTGAAACATGTTTAAGTTGATATACATAAAAACTAGAGTAGAGAGTAGTTATTTTAAAAATTAAAATATTCATTTGTATGGATATAAGTTATGGTGGTTAAAGAGACTAAAGTTGAAAATCTTTCATTGAGTAACTTGTCTCTTAAATGGGAAGTTGTTTATGAGTTATCTCCTCTATTCTTATGTGGAACTATATCGGTCAAGGTTGAGTCATACGTGTTATAAGTGACCAAATTGGATAAGGTATGAAATTGATAGGTAAAAAGATGTGTAGTATTTAGAAGATAGTTGGTGGGTTAATTTCAAAGGAGATTTAGTTATGCATACCAAGGTCGTGGTAAACTTACATCTAAGTTGTTCTACTCTGACAATAATGCTATACTTTCCTAATTTAAGTGACAAAACCTAAAAAAATCAATTTAAGTTGTTAAAGATGTGCTTGAGTGGCTTGAAGTTTTATCTACTTGGCCAAGACAAGATAGGTCAAACGTAGTGATTCGATAGGATCAAATAACTTAGACTACTCACCTCGGCTACAAGAGATCTCCATAATTTAATATGTGTGACAACTTATTAGTTGTTGAAAGTTGTTTAAGTTGTGATTAAAGTTATTTATGTTGAGAATGTTATACATGTTGTAAGTTGCATTTGATGTTGAAAGTTGTGATTAATGTTGCAATTGAGGTTATGTTTTGAGTTGGAAACTAACATATTGTTTTAAGTTAAATTTAATTAATGAAGTTGTTATTTTCTAATGTCGTTATGATGTTGATTCTTTCACAAGTTTACCCTTTCATTTTGTTTTCTTTTGTGATTAGATTGCAATTATTATACTTGGTAAGAATACAGTGAGATTAGCTAGGATGACTTGACCTATTAGTAGATGGTCATGCTAGAGACGAATTATTTTTGAGTTTACTACTTTGAAGTACTTTGATGCAATATTATTGTATAGAGACATTTACTTGACAATAAAGTTATTTTGTATAAAATAATGTATATTATATATATCCCATAAGAGACTTTATGTTTTGCAGTCTTATAAGTAGAAATTGTTTTATGTTGTTGCACTCTATACACACACAAGAATTAAACTATATTAACAATAAATTAATCAATTTCTATATATTAAATATGAACAACTATCTTACATGAAAGTGTTTGTAAGGACTTTTATTTGACGAGAAAAATTTTAAGATTTTTTAAACTTTCTATTTAATTCAATTTTTTAAATTAAATTTTAATATTTTAAAAATAAAATATTAATAAATAAAAATATATTTATTATAATAAAATTATTTATCATAAATTTAAAATAAAATTTAAAAATATTCATTAATATAAATTTTAAATATAATTTATATATTAAACACAATATTTATTTAATTGTATATAATAAATATTTAGTACGTTACACAAATTAAAAATACTATTTAAAGTTGATGGTAGAAACTAATATATATCAAAAATTTAAAACTGACATTTTTTTTTCCAAAAATTAAAATGAGGCAGAAACATAAATACATAATCTTAAACATATTTAAGTAGGAAAAAAATAATAATAACAGTAAATGCACGTAAGAAATCGTGACTTGATAATTCGCGGTATATTACTTTAAGCAAAAATTGGTGAAGTTTTTTTTAGAAGAAATATAAAATTTTTCAATAAAGTAAAATTAATTAAAAAAATACTCTTGAAATAATAATGAAAGTAGTATTTGCAATTAATAAAGAGGAAAACACACAGATCAGCTATTTAATTAACCAAAATTATATAATTTAGATTTTAGAGAGTGCAGTGTAGCAGATAATGAAGATGGATCATAGCACTAATAATCTTACCTTATCCGTGAACGAATAAAACGAAGCAATGGCCCTCCATTGGTGAAGAACGATTTCCATAGCTCTCTCTCACTCACATATCCAATGGCAGAGAGCAAGGACCTCCAAACCGCACTCAGAAGGCTCGCATCTGTAACCAACCACCTCACCACTCCCACTCCTGCTTCCGCCGGCGAACTTTCCCTCCGCCGCACCTCCGCCCGCAGCGACACCTTCCACCGCGTCCACGGCGATGTTCCCTCCCACGACGTGGTTTGGAGGAGCGCTTCCGACGAGTTCACCGACATTGTGTACGAGAAAGCCCTCGGGGAAGGAATAGCCAAGGTCAATTCATTCATTCGTTCCTCTTTGCTATTTACTTTCTTCAACTTTCGCGTTTCTTATTTGCTGCGCAAGTGTTGCAGATCAGCATTAATAGGCCTGAGAGAAGGAACGCGTTCCGACCGCACACCGTTAAGGAGCTTATGCGTGCTTTCACTGACGCCAGGGAAGATACTTCTATTGGTGTCATCATTCTCACCGGAAAGGTACCTTCTGCCAATTCATTATTTCTTCACTAACTGTTTCCATACAAGTAAGTGAAAGTGAATATTATCGACAACAATCCTTAACTTATAAGTCGATCACTTTTGTAGAATAAAATTAGACTTTAATTTTTTATTTTTTTTTAAATTGTTTTATAGAGTAAAATTAGGCTTTAATTTATTTTTTTTTAAAATAGTATCAGAGCATATTTGAACTTATCAGGATTATTAGATTTGAATACTCTTAATTAGTGAGAAGGATATGAGTTCTCATATTTGATATTTATTAACGTAGTAGTATTATTATATTAAGTTTAAAGATAATTTTGTCAAGGGATTTTGCTTAAAGCAAAAGCACCAAGTTATTGATTTCCAAACACGTCAAAATTGTCAAACAATACATGCATGGCGTTGGATGCAAAACATCCTACTAACTGGAAGTTTGGCCTACCTAATGCCAAACTAAACACTTAAATATCTAAAATTTGGATAAAATTTTCCATAAATACTTATGGGAAAAAAAAAGAAGCTCTAGAGATAGTTTTTTCTTTTTTATTAGAATAAGCCAATATAAGAGAATTACTATAAAGTATTTTAAAAAACTAATACAAAAGAACTTCTATAAATTAGTTTATATCCATGAGATGATTTTAGCTTTTAAAAAATTATTTTTTTCTTATTTTTTTAATTTTTATCCCCCTTCCACCGCCAACCTGCCCTCCCTCCGCTAATTATTGCATTGTTCATTTCGAGTTATTTTGGATAGTGTTCAATATTTGGACTTTTCTTGTTGGTCCTTTCTACAATTGAACCCCATATAGGCTTATCATTTTGTCACCAAAGAATGTACATTGGTAACTGTTGTTTCTTATTGATGAATATGATGCCTCCAGTTCAGCTAGAAAACATACATTTGACCATGTTGTTGTCACTTTGATAAAACTGAATCCCATGAGGACATGAATGCAAATATGCAATGATCGCATTTTTTGTGCAAACCAGTGTGGAATTGATGCTGATGACATATTGATGTTGTAGGGAACCAAGGCATTTTGTAGTGGTGGTGACCAGGCTTTGAGGACTGAAGATGGCTATTCTGATCATGGAAATTTTAGTAACCTTAATGTGTTAGACTTGCAGGTATATTGTTTTCGGAATTTTCTAATTCGGTGAATGGAAGTGATTCCCGTTACATGAATTAATCCTTTGGGTGTTTTGAGCCATTCATCTCAATGGACCATGAATCTTCAAGTTCTCCAGCGATTGTGTAGTTTCCATGATTTTTAATGAGACATTTGGCAATGCTTGTTATGTAAAAAAACCATGTCCCTTTCTTACTACATTTTATTCATTCTTTTCTCCTATTGCAGGTGCAGATACGCCGTCTTCCTAAACCAGTGATTGCAATGGTATTCGCTGTGCCTTTTGAACCTTTACTCTTATGGTCGATAAGATATGCTATAAAATAAGGGAGATGACTGCATTAAAAATTTGTATTCTGTTTGATTTTTAAAGTAGTATAAGTATTGGATAAAAAACAACTCAAGGGACACTACAAAACTATAAGTATAACTTCTTACCCATTATATCCACAGCAGAAAAGTAAAAATAAGACCAATAACCCTCGCCGTTTCATTTTCCTAACTCTTTTGCACGCAAAACAAATAATGCCCAACATAAATAGTATGACAGTAAATTTTGCTTATTATTATTATTAATTGGTGGCTTACACAAAACTTACAGTCCTGTGATGGATCATCAAACAACTAAGAACGTAAGTACCCTGTGACTCAATTACTAGTGATGTGTTAATTTGTTTGTATTGTTTCTTAGATGCATCAAACACACCCTTAAGCTCAATTCCTTTTGTGCTTAAAGCATTACTCAGCTGCAAGTCTAGATATTTTAAACTCATTGTTAATACAACATACATTTGAGTTTTGGAAAATTGAATCTCTAATTAGCTCCCTTGCCCGTTTAAAACTCTAGGCCTCAAAATTTCAGTTAATGAATAATGATACCATTTTTGTTCTTTACTATTCTTGTTATATGCAAACTATTTTTCTAACGTTAAAACAGGTAGCAGGTTATGCTGTTGGAGGAGGGCATGTATTACATATGGTCTGTGATCTAACTATTGCAGCAGACAATGCTATCTTTGGCCAAACTGGTCCCAAGGTTCTTAACCCTCTTCCTTTTGATACGCGTACTGATAAACAATATAAGAAGATATTCTTAATATAAATAAGAAGGCAAAGTTATATTGCTCTCACTCACTTTTGCAAAGATACTTCATAATGGGTTTGTAATTCCTTCTGTGTTTGTACCTATGGAAGGTAGGAAGCTTTGATGCTGGTTATGGAAGTTCTATCATGTCCCGTTTGGTAAGAATCAAATACTATTTATTCTGCTGTTAATTCACTCTACTATTATCTTATTCTAGGTGGTGGACTTTGTATGCTGTATCGCTTTGATATTTTGAATTCAAAGATAAAAACTTCCCTTATTTAAACAGGTAGGTCCAAAAAAAGCACGTGAAATGTGGTTTCTCACAAGGTTCTATGATGCTGTTGAAGCAGAGAAAATGGGCCTTGTCAACACTGTTGTACCGGTGAGTTCTTTTCAGTCTAAAGATTTCTTGACACTGTAATTCTAAATTCTCCTTCTGTTGAAAACAATTTGAAATCTTTCTTCACTAAATATGTATTTATATTTGTATACAAATTGAAAAAGTAATTAAACTGTCGACAATTCTCTTAAGAAATAAAATAGGGAGCTACTTAAAAGCAATAGCAGACAGACATGCTCCAACATCAACCCCATGCTTACGATGAATGCTATGTTTTCATTTGTTTTGGTTTGGTCTAGCTTGAGAATTTGGAGAAAGAAACGATAAAATGGTGTCGGGAGATACTGAGGAACAGTCCAACTGCTATTCGGGTGCTCAAGTCAGCTCTTAATGCAGTAGATGATGGACATTCTGGGCTTCAGGTATATCGTAATTCATGATTTCATCTATCAATATCCTGTGCTAAATAGTATACTTTCTAAACAAGATGATTATACCGAATGTACCAAGACTTTGCAATGATCTTTATTTTGTTAATTTGTTTTCACCTGTTTCTTGGTGCATGTGCATATGTACTTAATTTGTATTTTTGTAATCTAAATGATAGGAAATTGGTGGAAATGCTACGCTAATATTCTACGGCACCGAGGAAGCTAAAGAGGGGAAGACTTCATATATGCAACGTAGACGCCCTGATTTTTCTAAGTTCAATCGGCGACCTTAAATTAAATACTAGTCAATTGTTACTATCAATTTGAGGCATGGACCTCTAGTCTATAGAGCAGAAATGGCACCTGTTTACCCCTGTCCTTAATTTATTCATTTTAAATGTATTCGAGGCTAAATGTAAAATAAACAGATTTCTTATATTTAACTAGTTTGTGTTGATTCTTAAAAACATGGTCAACTTAAATTAGACCACAGAATATAAATTTCTACTTATTTTCTCAGTTTTCACTTTTGGTGATTCATTTTCTGAAATTCAGTTTAGTGTCCCATAAGTAATCAAACCTTGAAAGCTTGTGCAAGTTTAACCAGAGAAGTTCATTATTTGTGTGATTCTAAAGGGAACTTGAACTAGTTGTTTATGCCCCATAAGTTTACGGGTAGTTTAACACTTTTATTATAGTCCTTAAGGGTGGCAAATGAATTTATTTATTCATCATCTATTCTATCCATTTATAAGTAAATCTATTGGATCTATCTATTACAATAAAAATAAATAATATATTGGATTCAATTTATATATTTAATTTTATGAATGATTAATGGTTCATTTACTATTTTTTTAGAATTCATTGGATTATATATAAGATATTTACTAGATTGGAATTTTAAAAAGATTATTTTAATATAAGTTTTTTTTTGTGAATTTTAGAAGACTATATAAGAATGTGATGACTTATTAAAAAATAAAAATAAAAATAAAATTTTGAAAAATAAAAAATCGTTTAATTTTTAAAATATTAATTTTATGAATGAATTGGATATTTATCTATGAAAAAATTGTTAATGGATGGATTAGATTTAAACTTTTTGCTTTAAAGAAATTGGATGAATTGAATTTTTATGTGAGTTTTTAATGAATTTAAATATATCAATAAATTATTCTTCTCCAATCTATTATGATTCGATCAAAATTATTCGATTCTTCCACTTGTCACCCTTAATAGTTCTATAATATTTCTGTCAGACATTCAATGGGTGTATTCGACGTACATGTATATTCGGGGCAAGGGTGATTTTAGTTTGTTGTGATTGGCTTTGTATTTGTTTAAATGTTTCCATCTCACACCAATTCAGGATAGATTCGCTGTAATGGGGAATCATTGAATTGGAGAAAATTTCTAAAACAAAATCAACAAAAATAAATAATAGTAACTGAATAATAGACTGAAAACAACCAAAATAACACTAATGATTGGGCACTATATATGAAGGACTGCATCACACATAATTGTTAAGATATTTGGGCTTCTTGGTAGCTCTCCTGGCGACACTTCTATTATGTTATCATTGCCTTCCTTTGAGAAACTCACCTGGTTCTTAAGGTGGAATGTTGAACAAAGGTCATCCCATTTCTCCCGAGTGGAATCTTCAAGCGACAATCCAAGCCACTGAACTAAAACAAGTTTGATTAAGAGGGATGTGGAATGATCCATTTTGGATTCCAGGATGGATAAGGGTTTTACAAGAAGAATATTGTCATAAGAAGATGATGGTAAAGGATCTTGTATAGGAGGGAGCAATCGAAAACTGGATGGATCTTAGAAGACTCGAGTAGCTCAAGTCAATAAGCAACAAACTCAATTTAGTTATGATCTTATAGGGTCCATAAAATTGCTTAGTAAGTTTTTCTACAATCAGTTTCTTTTGAGATTGTGTCTTAGTAAGTTTCTTTTGAAGTGAAAAAACATGTTTTAGCGGGTGGAAAGCATAGAATCAACAATCTCTACTGGTAAAGATGTTGGGTATTGGGCTCTCATCCTATATGGAGAAAAGGCTCAAAATTGAGAAGCTCATTTAATGTCTCACTTAACTAAGTGAAGAGAGAGTCTGAAGCACATGAGTCAAAAAGAGGGAAAGTTAGAAGTTACTTAGAACATCAGCACTTTGAGAGAGAGGTAGAGTGAAAGTCATTCTCGTTTTTACACAGGGCTGCGACAGTAAAATCGATACTGCAGATTTGTTCACCATTGGATCGGGCTAAAAATTGGACAGCAGGTTCGTGACATCCGGTTATTCATTCTGGCCGGTTGGATTGTTGAAACGAGGTCTGAGTAGGGCGATATTCAGTTCGCACTACAGCTGTGTATTTGGGGTTTTTTCATCTTCTTTGTTCTCTATTTGTAAGTTTTATTGCTTTGTTGTTTGACTGGGTGTTAGCACTATTTTGTGCAGTTAATTGAGACTCTTTTGTACTCTTTTTTTATCATAGTGGAGCTATTTCTTTGGTCTGGACGACTCGTGGTTTTTACCCTTGCTTTGAGGGATTTTTCACATTAAAAATCTTGGTGTCTTTGTGTGTGATTTTGGTGATTTATTATTGTTGTTCATTGGTTGTTGCTCCTCACAGATTCTTGCAAGTTAGGGGAATTTATTTCCGCTGCGATAACTGTTTGAGTTTGCTTTGTATTGTTATTGTGTTACTGAAAGGCCTTTTGGGTGATGTCCAAAAGTAAAACCGTGAGGGTTTGGGCCCAAAGCGAATAATATCTCACCTATGTGGAGACATGTGTATATGTGTGGTAACCCCCCTGGTGCACAACAAGTGGTAGTAGAGCCAATGGTCTGATCAGGTGACTAGCTCGATGAGTATGATGACTGGCAAGTGGATTCAAGTTTGAGATTCCTTGTGTCAAAAGTCTTCCTAACAGTGGGTCCATGTGGAAGAGAGGCTTCCTAGTAACATGGAGGGTTAGGAGACGTGTCCTGCTGTCATGAAGAGGTCATGATGGAGCGGTGGTGCAAGCACTCTGAGCGTGAATGAGCTCTATGGGGCCACCATCAGATAATACTCGTAGTTTTCGTTGCAGGGGATGGGTTACACCGTGGTCCTTTGTTTGAGGGGAGGATTGTTGGGATGCAAGTAAAGTTTCATATTGTTCAAACAAGAGGATGAACATGGGTTTATATGCACACAATTGTCTCCATTGGTCGAGAGGCCTTTTGGGTGATGTCTAAAAGCAAAATCGTGAGGGCTTAGGCCCAAAGCGGACAATATCTCACCAATGTAGAGACATGTGTATATGTGTAGTAATCCCTGGTACACAACAAAATATCCTAGCTAATAATGGGGAATGGTGGGCGAAAGCTTACCATATATGACTTAGAGAGGGGGTAATCACAGTGGTGAAATGGACAAAAGTGTTATAAGAGCATTCAACTAATGAGAGGAATTTGCAACATAGGAGACACAACTAAGACCCAGGGAAAATGCTGATGACCCTAAGTAGTGTTCTGGTTTGGGACCAGAGTTGGTGTTGGTATGTCTATGATGACTATGATAATACATTATTAATTGTTGATGCCTGGGATTTTGATGTTTATGTGAATGACAATGGTTGTGGTTCTTTTTGTATGTCGAATGTTGTAATGCTTTCCTTATCTAACTGTGATATAGATGTGGTAATCGGTTCGACCTCCAATCAATGTAGAGAAAACAAATGATGGAATTACCCAAGATGATGTGAGAGTTGATATTTGAAAAATACAATTCCAGATTTCTTGAAAATGAATAATGTGTATATTATAAGTCACTGAGTATGTGAAACTCTATAAAAGCTTCATGAAATTCTATATGTGAGTAACCCATGCGTTTTGAGAAAGCCTTCAATTCTTGGCTAAGACCCCAATGTTGTCTAATTGTGAAAGCTTCTTCACCTAAAGGATTTTGTGGCGTGGTTTTTAAGGATGATAAGATAATAATCCTATTTTATTATATTTTTATTATGTCAACAGGATATGATAATATTATTTTATCTCTTATCTTGTTTTTAAGTTTCATTTGTCGTAGCACTTGGAGTTTCCGGGAGGTGCTTATATAGAGTTCGTTGGAGAATTGGTGATGGTTCCAATATTAATAGAATTAGCCTTGGCTATGGAATTTTGATGACAATTCTATGGGACAGTCACTGTACCCTAGTGTGGCTGCATTGACTAAACAGGATTTAATTGTAAAGGGTAATATTGTGTGGGATGATTGTTTGATACATGCATTATTCCCTTATTAGATGGCTGAAAGCATTTTACAAATTCTTCTTCTTTGTGGTGAGAATGAAGATAAGTTGATTTGGAAGCATGATAGTAAAGGTATGTATACTGTAAAATCTGGATATCATTCTTTCATACAATCATAAGGTGGCATCGTCTGTTAAATTTTAATCTAATATTGACTTGTATATTTAATAAATGACTTTTAATGAAAATATATCTAATGTGATGGTTGTTAGATTTAAAATATATTAAAAGTTATTGAAGATTATTTTAAAGTTATTAAATTAATTTTCTTCCTTTTCACATTATTAAGGAAAATTGTGATAATAAAGAAAAAGTAATTTGAAAAATAAATTAATAAATAAATAAATGGAAGTTATGAAAGTTAAGAAGTGATTTTTTTACAAAAGGACAACCTCTTTCCTTTTCATTACTACTCTTTTTCTTCATGACTAAGTTCATGGAGGATTTTGAAAAGAAATAAAAAAAAATTGTTAAGAATATTTGAAAGGGATTTTCAACACCATCAAAAGACCAATTATAGGAAGTAAGAGAAGGAAAAACAACTTATCAAAAAATTGAATTACATTATGGATCCAAGTATGTCTTCTAAATTTCTCATAAAATGATTGAGTATAAGAATAGTGAAAAATATATTATCTAAGATTCTTAAAATTTATGGAGTGTAATTATTTTTAGTGATGAACATTATGAAATTACACATGATCGCAAAAAATTATCTAACATAATCAATTTAGAATAGATGGAGAGTGGAATGTATTATGAAAATTGAAAGTGCCTACAAAGTTGAAAATGTTTCTTTGGAAGGCTTGTAGAGATTGTCTCCCTACACATATCAGATTACAAAGTAAAGAGGTTCGTTGTCCTACAAATTGTGTTTACTGTTTGGATACTTTAGAAAATTGTTGGCATAGTCTTATTACATGCCTAAAAAGCATCTCGGTGTGGCAAAAAAGTGAGCTTTGGCATTCCATTGAACCATTGTTGTCAAATTTTGAATCCTTTAAAGACTTGGTTTTTAGTTTATGTAAGTCTCTAAATGAACACAAATCTAGCTTATTAGTAATGCTTCTGTATAGTCTTTGGAAAAGAAGGATTGAAAAATTATGACTGCAAATGAGCAAAAGGATATGGGTGTTATCAATAGTGCCTACTTAACATTATCTAATGGAGCAAAGGTCACATGTTGGAATTGATGCTAATTATGATGGTCTACAAAT